AAATGCCTGCCTTTTTGTCTTATTTGCATAACTTGTGAACTAAAATCAGAAATTTTTGAATTAACTATTTATAATGACACTATTAATAGTTTATCTATTACAGGTACTAATAAGGATATCTTAAACGCCCCAGGAGGATTGCAAAGATATTGAAAATTTAATTCAACTGGCCAGCGACCAACTTAACGGAACTCTATTGTTTATATACTAGATTGCCAACTTGCCAAATTTACATAACTCCTTAATTAGACTCGAATGTTCTATTACTCCAATAACTTGTTTACCAAATTTACCCGATTCCTTAACGAAACTCTGCTGTTACAATATTAATATAAGCAAGCTTACCAACTTTACTAACTCCCTAATAAGTCTCAGTTACTATAATACTCAAATTACTAGTTTATCATTATTACCAAACTCCTTAGAATTACTTTTTTACTTTGGATACTCAAATTATTAGCTTACCAAAATTACCCAATTCCTTAACGTTTATCAACCCTGAATATTTAAAATGAACGTTTTGATACAAAATAGCTTTATTTTAACGTAAATTCACTTATTTTTCATCTTATATAATAAATAAATCAATCTATTAACGAAATGAAATACTTGCATAAGATAAGAATGATTCATGTCGTAACGATTGACGTAAAGTTATTGATAGTGAATTTTTCATCATAAAGCTGATTAATTTTAAAAATAAGTTTGTCAATTAATCATCGAAGCAATACAACAATATAACTTTCTTTAGATTTTACCTTTGACACAAAAGTGAACTCTTCTCTAAAATATTTATTATTCTTGTTCAATAATCTATATAAAAATGAATTATTATGTAAGACTTTTTAATTGTAAGTCTGATTTCCAAAAAGTTTCCGTTTGATTACTAGCTGTGAATTTGAACCAAAGTTTTGCTAATATTTGCTGACCAAAAATTTTTTCACGTACTTTAGTCTATTCTTCAATTTTCTTTTTTTTAAAGAATAAATTTTTTATCAACATCAGTAATTTTTCCATTAAAATAGATACAAAAAGCAAAAAATCCAAACTAGAGTACTAGAACTGATTTTTAAATCGCTAATGGCTGCAAATGGCACAATAAAATGTTCAAACTTTCAAATTATTTTGTTGATTTTTATTTTATTACCAATAGTAATTGTTTGTGCCTCCATTCCGAAAAGATAAATCAAATTTGTATTAAAAAAATCTCAACGCGTCGCATTTTAGTATCAAAAAAAACTGTAAAAACAACTTTTTAAGCTTGCTTCATGAAAATAAAGCTTCCTTGATTTCCGTTTAAATTACACCTTGAAATTAAACAATGTATCAAGATTTTATTAATGAGCCGTTCAAGTCTTTTAACCATTTAATTACTATTATATTATGAACAATTTTTGGCATTTACTACGTGAAATTTCTAAAAAATATGAACAACTTGTTTTTATGATTTACTTATACAAATCTGTACTGTTATTAACCAGCAAACTTCCAAAATATAATTTAAAACATGAAACGAAAATTATATATAAAACTAATTCCACAAACTATAGTTACTTGAGTATCTTGATATTTAATCTTTAATTTAAATACTCTTATTTATAATTCCTGTGTTTGGGTTAGGTTATGAGAAGTTTATAATTATTTGTAACACTATCGTCATTACAGGTTCAAATTTATGTTAGCTTTTAATATTTATATACTGTATTTTAATTGAATATTTTATGAAATTTATAAAAGAATGCTTTATGCTAATAATTGAACTTATTAATAATTAACTGAAGCCGTAATATAATTAAATTTTTAACGGCTTGCACTGTAATCCAGCACAATACAAATTATTGCTTACTTTTCATCAAATTTGATTAGAAATGCGGAATATTGGAATTTAAAATTATAATAATATAATTCCAAAGAATATTTATTGAAAAGCCGTAAAAATAATTTGAATATTCCTACAGCAAAATAGGATCATTGTTTCTTAAAAATGCTGATATTTTTATATTAAGCTATAAATAAACTACAATTGTATAAACATTATTGATATTTTTGACATTATTCAAAATATAATATAATAGTTTATTGTATTTATAAGCATGATCATGGGCGACTGCAGAATAATACAGTTTATTTGATTGGGGTTAAAATATCATCCGAACTGCTTCGCAGTTCGGTGATATTCAATCCCCCTTATCAAATAACTAATACTTAACTTAACAGCGTAAAAAAATGATAAAAAGTATTTTTTTTTGTGTTTATTTGTTTGAAAGTTCTATCTTGGCAAGTAAGGATGCTGTCCTGAGCTAAGAATTTGACTAAACTAATTCAGTAAGTCTAAACTACAAAATTTTAGTTTTTGACAGCAATACATTTTGTAAAAAAGTTAAAGCCTTACTTTGTTTGCAAATCTGACGTGAAAATTAGACTATTTGTCCTAATTTGACGAATTGATAAAGGTTTGAGATATATTCAGTTATAAAAATGCAATCCTTTTACTTATGATATGAAAAAAAACCTTTCAATTTCGAGAAGAACTATTGAATAATATTTGACGGTTTCATATACAAAAGGATAATAAGTCGAAGGTTTTTTAATCAGTAAAATTATATAATTTCTATATGTTAAAGGTGATCTAAATTTTTAATTAAAAATTGTAAGCATATCTTCTCGTTCAATCTTAGATTCTTAAATATATAATTAAATTTAATTTAGAATAATAGATAAACCAATATGTGATATGAAAAGGATAATTAGGTTCACTGGATATAAAATCACATGCTCATGAAGTCAACCTATTAGTCCTATTAGTCATAACTAAATTAGCATATCTAATTGCATATGCCTTTTCCGCTTTTACATAAATACATGTCTTGTAGAAAAAACATATTAACCCAAAAAAGATTGAAGAAATTGTTTGACTATAGAAGGTGGCCAGCAAACATTTTCAAAAATAATTATTAAAACTAAATTATTATTTGAATATAACATTAATACTTGTTATAAAGTAGTGATAAGTAATTCTAACGGTGGTGTATTCATAATATTCATAATATCGATGGGACAATTCTTATAATAGTAAAAAAATATTTATCATTATAAATACTTCATATTTTCACGTTTTTGTGCTTCATACTTAATGTTTACTTAATATTAAAAATCAGTTTTAATTTATCATATTGATGTGTTACATATTTATGACATGGAATTGATCAAATTTATTAATGTATGACATTGGTAGTATAGAACTGGTAATACAGTATTGGTTTCTAAATATACGTAAAAAAACATGATTTCATTTTTCACTTATTAAAAACAAGAAATACTGTAAGTATGAATAATTGTTTAAAGAATATTATTCACTACAATCTTACTAGCAGGCAATATTTTTTTGATATGATCATATTCACTTTTGATATATATTTTACGTAATTATAAAAGAACCAGAAATTTACTTTTGATTATGGCAAATATAATCTGTATTTTAACAACTGTTTATTTTGAAATAATCTTGAAATTGTATCTTTCTTTGCACCTTTAGTACAAATCAGAAAATCCATCAACCAGAAACCCACCAACTGAAATCTCCCAAATCCATATACCTACTATCCAAGATAAAAATGACCTTTGATTAAAATGAAGATAATCTATATGAAGTTGCAAAAAATAAAGAAAAAACTATCGAAGAAGAACGATAGATTAAGCGACAATAAAATTATCAGCCGAGTAAGTGTTAATTTTATAAAATTATACCCTATCGCACTAAGTGCGAAAAACATCGTAATTTTATTAATTATGCATTTTATCGGGAAATTTTTAGCTAGTTTTTTCATGGTAATAAACTTTTTCAATGATTAATTCTGTATTATAGATTAATTTAGTACTTTAATTAAAATGTCTAATTTTACACTATAACAATTATGAATATTAATATTTTCGATATTAATTTGTGGCATTTCTTTTGGTGTTTTATGTTCTTTATGTTATTGTAAGAATTTCATATTTCGATTGAGAGTTGACTTTGATGGAATAATTGTGAAGCAGAAATAAAACCTATATAATAGGTAAATTTTAATAGTTTATTAAATATTAAGTATTAATATATATTTATTATAATACCTTGATTTTTCGATGTGTTTTTCTTTTGAAGGAATTCTTATAAAATTTATAATGTTTTAAAAAATTCGAATTTTTAAAAATTTTTTTAATTGAAAATTCTTATTATTAGTAACGCGAGAGAATAAGCTTGAATGGTTTGTAAATCATTATCGGAATAATAAATCTTTCGTAGGTTAATACTTGGTTATTTTTAGTACCATACCATTATCTTTTCTTGCTTGATAAGGTTTCCTTTAAAATTTTAAAAAAATAAAATAATTTATTTTATTTGTTTATTCAAAAAAAAAAAATAAAAAATGGAAAAAATTTTTTTAATTAATGAGTTTTAGTAAAAAGTAAAAAAAAAAAAAAAAAAAAAAAAAAAAAAAATTTAACGAATGTGAGAGAATATAAAACATACTTTACTAAAACTGCCGATTTAGCGACTTTTATAGCGCTTGCGTGCGATTATCATGTGACTATATAGTTGAATGCTAGTGGCGTTTTTATTTGTTAACCGTCAAGTACCTAACCCATTATTTTAAATCGGCTATATAGAAATGATAAAGATATTTAATATTAAAAATATTTTAATTTTAGAATAAAAAGTAATTTTAATAACTTTTTTATACATATAAATAAAATTGCACCTTCTGTTTTCTGTTTTTCTACCTTGTTACTTTACAACAGCGATATAAAGTCCATTCCATAATTACCTTTTTATAAAAAAAAAATAAAATCTATAAAGCCGATAAAATGCTATTATTAAAATAATATTTTATATGAATTTTTTTATGTATTACAATAAAACTGATAAAAATTTTATTACATTATATTTGAAAATATAGCAAATAAGAAGAAAAATTAAACATAAGTATATACCGCTACATAATTAATAAAGATACTTTTTAAAGCATAAGTCTTGATGCAATGTTCTTGCCGGATCTACTCGCAACTTTGCAATTGATTGCAATTCTATCGAGTTTCTTGACGGCTTGAATATCGTATTTATCGTAATATATCTTGAATACCTCTTTTATTAATATTACGAGTTTGTCCATCGTTCCACATTTCCTGAGTTTGTCTATATTAGTGCCGCTCAAATATCTCTTTAATATTTGTTTAGCGACATCTTGAGTTAAAAATTCATCAATATCAGTTCTTGACGGAGCAGTTGTTAGTTCATATCTTAATTGATTATTTTTAAATTCAAGTGCTAATGAAGCTATTCTTTTATTAAATTTGATGCGAAAGTCTGAGAATACTCGCTTAGAATGACATATGATCTCTACAGCTTCATTACTGTATAGATCATAATCAAATATATTAGTGATAAGCCTTTCAATGGATCCATCTGGTGGCTCTCTGCATCGAAGGAAAAGACATTTAATCTCTTCATGCCAAAGACGTGCAAGCCCCTATATAATAAAAGTTATAAAAATTAATTACTAATAATCGATATAAATAACATACAATAAAATATTAATGATACCTTATCTTCATTATTATTTGATGTTACAGCAGGTTGAGGTATCATAGTATTGGTAGATGAATGTAATGAAATATTCATAGCATTACGCATTTGATTTGCTGTCATTAATATATCTGGCCTTTCTACAATTAACCAATGACAAACTTCGAAAACGGTCGTCATATCTTTAAAAACTTCAGGTTTTCTAATATAAATTATTAAAATATTAGCAATTAATGGAAACCTAATCCTAATTACCATAAATTTAAATTTACCTGTTCTTTTTTTTGAATATTCAACAATCTCATTATCATCATTACTTTCATTAATTTGTATTTTTTGCTTTTTTTCGATACTATTTTGTTTTTTATAATTTTCATATCGGTTATCTAATTGATTTTATAAATAAAATGTGTTAGAAATTTAAATAATGAATAAAGTTAAAAAATAATGAGTAAAATTTTATACCATTATCATCACTATCGTCACT